TTTTTTTAATCAAGATAACATACAGTCAAGAACACTTTTATTTACATATATACCTCATATTACTTTTTTGTGCTCATTTATCCTTCTACATGATTCAGAGGCTGAACACATGCACAGAAAAAAAGAATGTGGAGCAGAAGCTGTGTTTTCCACCTGTCTTTTTATTAGGATTTTACAGTGAGAAGATACCAGAACTTTTCCGTCATATTTTCAAAAGATCTTTACACAATCTTTAACGTGTATCATCTATTTTCTTGCCAGCGGAAGTGTTTGTCTCCATACTGTTTATGAACAGGTATTTTTCCAGCTAAAAACCAACCAACCAAAACAGAAAATACAAAAGGCTTACTAAATCAGACACCCTTGACACTCAATGTGAACTTCAAAAGTAAATTACAGCTAATCAGGTGGCAGCAGATGATCGTGTCAGAGCAGCTCATGCAGCCCAATAACTGCTACAAGGACAGATAACAAAAATGTCTTATAAATTAACGAATATTTCCAAAGGTAAGTAAAAATTAAAAACCTGTTACAGCATTTTCTTGTAGCGCTGACAAGAAATATTCCACCTCTCACTTCAAGAACCACAAAGTGGATAAAGAAATCGTACTGCTCTCCCAAGCTGTACTGTACTTGTCAAAAGTATTGGAAAGGAAGGCTCCTTTGCCTGACTCAGCTCCTGCTTGCAACAGCCTCCCATCCTTGCAGTCTGACAGATGCATTTTCTTTGGGAGTTTTGCTGCTCCTGCTACCTGGCACAGGGAGAAATGCACTGTCACATCTCCATTGCTTAGCAACACAAGGAGCTGCCACAGGAGCTTCCTACATTGCTGGGGCCCTGGGCAGTCACCTCAGCAACTTTCTCCTGTGGCACGAGGGTTCATCAGTGGCACTGGCAGCAAAAGGATGAGGCTGGCTGTGCACACCCAATGATGTACTACAAACCAAGCAGTCCACTGGAATATTCGAGAATATTCAGCACACAAGCTGCCCCACCTCAATCCTTGAGTTATTCTCTTGGTTGTATCTTGCTCACCAATAACACTTAAAATGCCAGACAAAAAATCCTCATAAAAGAGAGGACAGATTTATTTGGTCAAGTTTTAAGGAAGAGATTAAGGCACTGCATTGCAGCCTTGGGGCTCTAACACAAACGTAACCACAATGTGACTGCACTGACAATTCTCTCTTCCCCTCTAGAAGACAGGATCCCAAGAGTGCCGGCAGGCAGCTCAGGTTAAATTGACTGTTTGTGTGGCACCTGAGATGAGAGAACAGGAGAGGCATGGAAGCACTATCAATGCATGAGACAGCTCTAGTGTGACAAAATAATGACTTTATTAAATCTTTGTGCATGAGAATGGGTATGTCTGTATGCAAGAGTCTACAACTTTAAAATGTTGTATCACTCTTTAAGATCTTTCCACACCCTTCAAAGCATATCTACACATATAACTGTTTATGGATTATGTACATTACCAGATGATCTTCACATATAGCAGCTCATCTCTAGATACAATACATCTAAATGTAAGGTTTAGAAATGCACTGCTAGTAATATGGGAAGTTTTCAATTTTGCAAGTGTTGTATCAGTACTTTGCCACGTACTTATTACTTGACAAACTGCATATCTTCACTTTATTTTTAGATAATTAAAATTAGCTAAACCAAAAAACAACCCCAAAACACAAAATAAAACACTTCACAAATGTCAGAACTCTCATTTCAGAAAGCATCAGGTTAGATGACAGCCCACAATTTCAAGCTTTGCTGAGGACAGTGTTACAAATCGCCCAAGCATTGTCAATTTTCTTTATATTTTTCTTTAAAGTGGTTCAGGTTCTCAAATAAACATATTTTAGAAAAACAGAGATTGAAGACTCATGCAAAGTAGCTACGCAATTTAGCTCACAATAAAGTATCCTTACAGCTTATGCTATGGTAATTAATTCATAAGATGCTAGAGTAAAAGATACTCCACAAACACACATAGTTTAAAACTCTGAAGCATATCTGGACTGAATAATTTTAATTGTGTTTTCACGAGATTTTCACCTATGGGACATCAAACAAGTACAGAGACAAATCATCTTCAAACAGCATGTTTCAGGTGGTTACTCTCATCCTCAAAAGCAAATCCAGTCAGATTTCATTAGCGGAAGAGAAACTGACAATACCATCAACTATTCCAGTTTGTGCTAAATTCAGAAACCCTCCTGAAGCAAGCTCAGTGTTTGTTGTGCTTGCTCATTATCTTACATGCATCATTTTCCATCAGCCTTTTCTCTTCACCCTTTGTGTTCTAATGAGAACCTGACCAAGATCCCTCACAAACCCCCTCTGCAACAATGCCCTGTGGCTGCCATCAAATTTTTTCACCAATTTAAGCAGTCCAACAAAAAAGGTCAACTTTTTTTTTTCGGCTTAGCTGCAACAACCATCAGCAGAGCTGCAAATAAAAATTTAAACTGGAAAGAAAATTTAAATCTCTCGTTGCACTTTCTCCTTGACTTTTATATTTTGTTTTACAGGGTAGGAATAAACACCAGCCTTTTCAAAAGGAGTTTTCACCCCGTTTCACCAACAGAGAACCTATTAAGGTTTGCTTCATGTATCACCTAAATATAAGTATCTTTAAAAGCTCACCCACTCCCAGTCACACTTTCCCAAAGCAGTACCATACTACTAATGCTGCGACCCTGCTGTTGAAGAGGTGCTATTCAAGATTACAAGTACCACCCAACTACACAGTTTGAAAGATGGTAATTTTAGCAGACTCTCCTTGACAATTTACAGTCAGACATCTCAAAAGGACTGGCAAGAGTTTCTTGCTGCAGACCAACTAATGCAAACCTAGCATGTTTTGTCATAGATGTCAAAGTAATAATTGAGGAAACCCACAAACATTCTTGCTGGCATGCTTCAGTGAGGCATAGAGCATCTTGCTTTAAAGTTTGTATTTTTAATTACTGCAAAACTAAGATTTATAAGAGCAGAGCAGGTCACCTCCTCTCCCCTTCTCTGACCCCAGACTGAAACCTGCTAGATCCTCCTATGTTAGAAACACTGGTGTTCTCCTTGGCATAGATATAGATATACACCGCTTTAGACAAAAGTGGAGTCCAGCGGGGAAGACTAATGACTTATTTGTCTTCTAAATTGAATCGTGTTTAACCTCACTTGGGAGTTATCAGCAAACCTGATTTCCCAAAGATTCATGCAAAGGGCTGCCGTTCAACCAGTGATACCATCTCCTTGCAGGATCTCACAGACGTGCTAGGAATTGAAATGGAAGCACAGTAGATTGCAGTAATGGCTGAAAATAGTTTGGATCAAATCATCTTTGAGATGAATAATAAAAACAGATTTTGCTGAGCATCTTTTTATTAAAACTAGCATGAGGTTTCAAAAAAAATTAAGCAACCCTTCTATAATGGCAAATACTGCTGGGATTTGAGTCAATAGGGGTAATAGAGATTGGTAAAGAACTAGGAATAAAAATACAGCCTAGACAGTCCTTGATACAAAGACCAATTTACACACACACACATCCCCCCCATCAACCATTCACCAAATGAACAATAGCTGATTCTATTTTAGACTTGATCTATGCTGAAGATTATGTGTTTCAGAAAAGTTCTTCATATGAAATAGCCTTGAATAGAGCAATCATGACATGATTTGGCTAAAAACTAAATGGCACAAAATAGCATCTGGATTTTAAAAGGACAGACATGTAGGGCATTGGCTGCTAGAGTCAGCTGGAACAAGAGGAGCAGAAACTTTAACAGGGACAAGGCCTGCAATTTCTTTCAGAAAGCAATGCCAAAATTTTAAAAAATAAGCATTCCAAAGAATAATCATTCCAAGGGCAAAAAGCAGAAATCCTCTAGACTCATTAGGAGCCATGTTTGAAGGAAGCAGAGGAGGAATGAAAAGACTACAGTGAAATTGTAATTCATAACTGCTTCAAAATATGATGTCAGTCACATTAAAAACAAACATCGTAAAAAAGTCTTGCTGACACATGAAGGAAAAAAAACTTACTTCATAGAGTCTGGGTTACAAACCAAGGCTAATCTAGAATAACACATGGCAAATTAAGCAATAGAATTGCAAGCAGCAAAGACTAAATGATCATAAAGGTGAATATTAAAGAATTTTTCCTGTCAAATCCAATTTCATCAGCTGGAAAAAATATAAAGGAAAGCCATCAATTAATCATAACACTAAACTAAATCACAGTAAGCTTCAGAAGAGATTTTCTTAGTGAAACTTAAGTCAGTGCCTATGTACAAGATAACAAAGTATTAAGAATACTAAACAATGCTGTCCTGGTACCTAATGCCCTTCTGTCATGAGAGAAGCCTTTTGCTCCAGTGTTCCCTTCAGCTCACACCCTCTCCTTGCACTGTGCATGGTGAGGCATTGGCACAGGCTGCCAAGAGAAGCTGGGGGTGCCCCATCCCTGTCAGTGTTCAATACCAGGCTGGATGGGGCTCCCAGCAACCTGGCCTCATGAAGGTGCCCCAGTCCACGGCAGGCAGGTTGGACTAGATCATCCTTAAAAGGTTTTCTCCAGCTCAAACTGTTCCATGAGCCTCATGGAATTAAACACAAAGATCTAGATAAGATGAGATGTTTTTTTTTAAAAAAAAACCAACACATTTCTATTCATTGCATATCAAAATATAACCAAAAAATAACCATCATTGCATCAGGACTTTCATTTATATACACACACACACAAAGCATCAGTCACATAGACACAGCTTAGCCTCTGCAGCAGTAAGAACACACTACTCCCAAAAGGACAGGTTAATAAAGTAATTCAATGAAATATCACTGAAATAATACATGTCTGTCACTCACACTTCAAAAGATTTTTTTATTAAAATAGAGTTTGCTAGAAAGTTTTGGTAGACTTTCAAAGAAGATGCATGGACAGAAATATATTAAAAAAATAAAAATCACAAACAAACCAGAAAATATAGCCTACCAAATATGTTGGTGGAATGTCCTTTCCGGGCAATTGGTTTGAGCTCATTATGTCCCCATCCATATTGCCTATAATTGTCCCAGGCATGCTTCATCATCTGAAAAACAGAAAAAAAACAGGATTTGATTACATTATAAAACTACTCTCTATGAATACAATATTTTACTCTTTATTTGAGACTTCATCTTTCACAGACATCCCAGCACACTGACTAATTACTTTGTCACTGCTGCTGTTACAGAAATCAGATTTTACAGCATGAATAAATTTGGAAAATAATCAAGTCTGTTTGACTTGAGCTATGGAGCCTAATGCTCTATGCTAGGTAATTTTCTTTCTTTTCCTTTAATATACGCACAGACATTTAAGAATATAAGCATAAGGAATGCATTTAAGTGTAAGGAATTGCTGTAAAACACTGGCTAATGTCTTAAGATGTTAACTAGAAGAAAAATATATCTACTGATACCTGAAGCATAAAAAGGATTTATTTACACTAATACATCCAAGTAGGACTCAACAATTTTGCAAAAGGCATAACAGATTTCTCATTAGCAACACCTACTTGACAAAGATGTACTGTCATATAGCCTCTACCAAAAGAAATGCCAAAAGCTTTGCTTTTTAGAAAGCATAATGAACAAAGCAATATAATGTTTTTATTATTTATTACACAAAACATTTAGCTTTTTAATAGAGATTCCTACCACATAGTAAGAAAATTGCATCTAAAAACCCAAAAGGTCATGCTGACTAGTTGTGCACATCAGCCACTAAGAAATGCTTTTATTGATTTGCTAAAATTCTTCAAACTCCTCAACTGTTGGAAATACAGCAGACACCAAACTGCAAAGTGAACGCAGTTTTAAATAAATAAATATTATTAGTACCTAAACAGATAAAAGCAAGTAATAGGAAGAAATTAGATATCAAAAGACACTGGCTGCCCCAGACACAAGAAAAGTAAGGAAAAACCTTTAGAAAAACAGCCAGGTGTATGTATCCACAACATTATACATATTTTTATATTTCATTTTAAAAACGGTATTTACATAGTGATAATATAAACAAAACCGCAAGAAAATGTACAGGACTTAAAATCATGATTTTCACAAGTTTGATAAATACTTTCTAAGAGAAGAAACTATGAGAATGTAACTAAAAGAACAATACCAACTGTTTAAGAAACTCAAGCAAGGCAATCTTTTTTCACTATGACTGACATTACTGTAATTCTCTTATTTTAATCAGAGAGTCACTGTAATCAGAAAATGTGAAGGAACAAGAAGATGCTGGCTAAAAAATGAGGTGCAGCCAGCTGCCTTACCAGCACTACCTCACATCTCTCCTCTTACTACCTCTCAGATTCCTCCTCCTACCAAATTCAAGATTTACTGGAAGTCAGCACCCAAGAAGCCCAAATCTTTCAAACTGCATCTAAACTGCCTGCTGAGACATGGAAAACAAAGTCTCTGTTCTCCCTACAACCATCAAGAGATCCCTTTCCAAACCACAAAGCCGTAATTCCTCTAAATGTAAACTCCCTCCAAATTCCCCATGGCTCAATTAACTCATGCCTAGACAGTAAATTTGAAACCCACACACAGGCCCAAGAAGCTGGGGAGCACTTCTGTGTTAAACTGGCATCAACTTAAGCTAACAGCTGCCCCCCTCAAGATGCCAAAGTTCCACTCCTACTGCTTGTCATTCAAAGTCAGCTCACATGTTGCTTTTAGTATTTACACTAATTTTGACACCTGATTAGGTCATAATACTCTAGAATTTCTTTCAATGTCATGAATTATTAAGTTTTTACACACATGTAAGAAATAGTAGATGCAAATACATTAAAAGAGGAGAGAAAAGCCATTTCCGTAGCATTCACAAACTCCTTAGTGTTTACACAGCACTTATCAAACTGGCCAATTCATAGCTATTGGAACATCAAGATGAGTTAAGTAAAGGGATCCTCTCTTGACAGGTAAGAAAACTACAGCATGACAAACCCAATAAAAACCTGCTCACAGGCAGTAACCAACCACACAAGTTCCTCTGAAGCTTTTGCTAATGTTATCCAGAACAAACCTACAAATTTCCATTGTAGGTAAAATTGTTCATTAACTTAATATCATAAAATTGAGAGTCACAGCATAGTTCAGATGGGAAGGAACCTCAGGATGCCTCTCCTGCTCAACAGCCTGCTCAAAGCATGATCACTATGTAAGGCTTGATCCACTCAGGGTAGTCTTAAGGACTGGGGACAGCCAAGGCTTCTGTGAAGGGTCTTGCTCTAACCTGCAACCTGCCAGTCCTAAAAACACTACTTGGGAAAACAGACTTAAAGGTTTAGAAAGAACTAGAGGATCGACCTAAAGACTGACCAGTGAACTCTCTTTGTTTGAAAACAGATAGATGACTAAACAACCATGTTTAGTTAGACGATGACATGGCAGATCCAACCAACTGCCTTGCACATCATGGAAACTGGGCTTCTGAGGTCTTTGGATGCCCCAAATAAATATTTCATGAAGGAGAATCAAATAGCCACTGACATTCTAGCTTTGTAAAAATCTGATGGTATAGGCAAATACCAGAACAGTTCAAAACTAGCTAAATCCAGGAGAAGAACAACAACTTGTTTCCTCAAGCAGAGTGTTAACTGGAATATTTCACTGTCCTAATTTGCTGTGCTTCTGGGGGAAAGGTACATATTTTATTACAGAGTATTTAGTTCTGAAGAAACCCCAAAAAAGCATGCAAATTACAAAGGGCTAAAACAGAATATATAAAACACAAGATGTTTCTATACATATAATTTATCCTAAGAAAATCTTATTAAGACAGAAACTGCAAAGGAGTACGTTTCAATGGATGCAGGAATTAATGCAGAAGTAACTTAAGAATACACTAGTGAGACCTGAAAGCCTCTTGAACACAACAGACTGACACAGTTGACTGCATCAGCTAAGGCTGAGATAAGAAATCGTATTTTGAGGAGACAGCTACTTTGATAACCACAAACACGTCTGTCCTGCCCCTCTGCCTGCCCCAAACACCAGGAATATAGTGTTTTAAGTCCTCCAGAACCATTTATTGCACTAGGTAGCCAAGTGATTTTTTTCCAGATGAACACGGACCATTACTCTGGCACACCACTCACTGCTTTCCTCCACCACAAAGCAAGCAGACTCCACGATACCATGATAGCAGAGAACTGCACATTACATGCAAGTGAGAAGTCCCACAGGTCTTGCATACAGTATTAAGTTTTGTAAGGATGAAATGTCAAGAGATCTTGTAACAACATGGAGATTTCTGTTACTACCAGAACAGGTAGCATGTTATACTATAGACAGAACATCTATACTATTGGGAGCAGCTGTGCACACAAAAGCTTTGGAGAGACACGAGAAGACAGATGCCTCTGACAGCTACAAAATTTAACTAAGGATGGCAGTTTGGCTCAGAAAGTACAAACAACATGAATGCCTGATTGGAAAAACGAAATTATTTCTCTAGGTACGCTGGGTAGTGATTGCATAGCAAAAGTTGGAAATGCTGAAGAATAGCTGCAGGGATAGACAGGCTTTTCCTAAAACAAAACTCTGTCTTTAAGGGAAGATGAAAGTCTCAGAACTGACTGGAACATCAGCACTACAGATAATAGCAAGAAGGTAAAACTATTTGGAAAAAATTTCACCCAGCCCTTAAAGCACTCAAGAGAGGCACCTTAGGGTCAGTAGAATGAAAATGACAATCATGGATCAATAACTGTGAAAAATGCAAGACACACATTTCAATAGTTGAAATTTCCATACCTGAGAGCAATTTGTCACAGGAAAGGATTGGAGCTTGGGCATATCATATATAGATCTTGCAATCTGTCCACCAGAGAACAAGCAGTTTTGGCAATGGACTTGCTACTGACACCATCAATTAGAGATCTTGCTCTTGAAAGCAAAATCATTCATAGGGTATTGGTCTGTTGTGAATCTTGAAAATGTTTATTATGGGATGCAATGGAAATAACAACCAGCAAGATGCTGCTGCAAATACAACTTGGTAATTCTACAAAAAGACTAACTTGGAGTCTGCTGCAAGACAGACAGAAAGGTAAGAAGCAGAACATGCCAATTAAAACTGTTTTGTGGCAGGTACACCGTTATGTAGTTGGTTTTGCTGGCTTTAGAACATGCACATGGGATCTAATCCTCTACAGTTACTGGGAAATCAGATTTTTACACAAAATTTTTATAAAGACAGAATGGCAATAATGTCTTCTGGCAAACAATAAAAGGAGGTTACAGTTGTTGAAAAGACATTTGTTAGGAAGCTCTACCACTACAGCAGCATGTCAGAAACTGTAACTGAAGCTAAGGACTGGTTCAAATAACCCTTTCCAGGACAGGCAACTAGCAAACAGAAGGTGGGAGTCCTGAGAAACAGTAAAATAACCAATTTTCTGGCAAATTGCTGTATTTACTGGTTCCTGACATTCCATCAGGAACATGCATAACAGAACAGCAAATAGGTTTTGCTTTCAAAGCCATGTATTCTGCTTTAGGGTACAAATTCGAGAGATTTATATAAACCACCTTCAAACTCTGTTTTAAAATTAACCAAGGACTTGCTAGACAGAATTACTGCACAATTGGCAGATTAAAAATTAATAACCATTTTCCTACTGTCTGCAAAGAATACTTTCTGGACATTAATTTAAAAAATTATATTTTCCTTGTATATTCAGATTTTTGATGAAACTTAGAAGACTCATGAATTTATTTTATTTTTCCAGGAGATCTATCTTAAGAAAAATTATTTCACGCATCAGTTAATGCCTCTGTCATGCGTTTTTTTAACACTGTCACTGAAAAAGTCCATTTGGAATATGTTCCTAACACACAGAACACTGTGTTTTCTTTTACTGTCAAATCTGGTAGCAAATCCATTACTAAAACAAAAACACTTATCAAATGGATATGAAGTGGGAAACTCTTTTTGCTGGCATGAAATACTTGAAGCCTTAGATGCCTAATGAAATTACATAGGAAAATCCTTCAGACTGGTGAAAACTGGAACAGTAGATGTAAAGAGCCT